AAATATTAAATTAAATTAAAACTATTCTATGTTTGTAATCTCACAAATAGCAAACCAATGACCAATCACTAATATTTATATTTTAAATATTAACTTTTTAACTAAAAATGTACTTACTTACTTACTTATATAAATTAAATTAAATTAAATTAAATATTTTTGTAATCTTACCAATTGCAAACCAGTCACCAATATTTAGATTTAAATATTAAATTACATTTATTTGCATTGTTTGTTTGTTTTGGTAATCTCACCAAATAGCAGATCAATCACTAACATTTTATGTAAATATTTATTTAGTTAGTTAAATATTTATAATATTTACTTATTTTATTAGTTAGTATTATCACCAATAGCAAACCAAAATCACTTAAATAATATTAAATATTAAATAGTTATTAAAAATATTTAATTAAATAAAATAATACATCTGCTATACATTTAAATCATTCTTGTCCTTTGTTTTGTAATTTAATAGGAACAATAGTTATTATATATATATATATATATATATATATATATATATATAGTTTGCTATAGTTATTTTTTATTCAACTGTTGTACTTAGTTTGCTCAACAAAAAGGTCCATTCAATTTTTTTTACCACTCTCTCTCTCTCTCTCTCTCTCTCTCTCTCTCTCTCTCCTCTTACAAAATACTATACTAACCATATCATCAGCCATACAATACCACTAACACTATTCCCATTTGTCAACGCATATGGACAGGCATTACCAGATCATGTGTTATTAATAAGTCTAATGGAGATATTATATGTCTAACCAGCATTACTTCAACTTTGCTGTAATTTTACCCCATGTGCACTTTTTTTAAGCTGTCCCTGAATTGCTTGTTTTTCAGGAAGTGGTAAATGTGCGAACTTCTGGCACAACTAAAGCATGACCAATATTGCTCTTAACCAACATCAGCATGTTAGAGATATCTGGAAGGTGTGGCTCTTTTCCTTCCCTCTTTCTTTCTCTCTCCACCCCCTGTTGCAAACACATCCCTGCTCTCTGGTCACCTGTTTGCGTGGGAACGGATGTGATGCAAACCACAGAAGCTTCTCCACCCATAGCCTGTCCTGCTCATAAACATTATGTTGTATCGTTGCTTAAATGTCCCTTTAATTATCCACCTCCCATAATGTTAAACAGTAATTAATTAAAGTGCAACAAATTGCTGATTTCAAGTACTTTGAATAAGATGATTGTAGAAATTGTGTGAATACTGATTCATGGGAGCATTATGAGGATTTATGTGATGGGAGCATTATGAGGATTTAACACGTAATTATTTATGAACAATATCAAACTAAACAGGAGTTCACTTGTATGTTCGGAGGCATTTTTGCTAGTTACTTGTTAGTATTACCATTTGTTTTACATGTACTATGGTAATCATTCAATAGCTTATAGCAACATGAAACTAGCATTTGATACCATTACTAACATGGTATTAACAATTTCAAAGGAAACATCATATCAGGAACATTATGCATTCAGTTTCATAAAATGAAGCAAGTTTTTGACTCACACTTTTTGCATTTGTCCTTTAAAAGCCCTTTGGGATTTGAAAAATAGTTTAGTGGTAAAAACAGAAGTTATATTTGAAACTGGCACAGGGTGTGGTTCAGTAAAACTGTTTGTCACATTGCTTGTGCCCTCTTTCCCATGCCTTCCGAGTAAGCAGTGAGGCTTTGCAAGTGGCTTTGGGGCACTGAGAGTTTAAAATCAGAAATAAAACAACACTCCTCCCCTTACGGTTGCATTGGTGACCCTGACGTGGAATATAGTTTTGAAGAGCTTTTAGGAAGGAAAAATATCTGTCATCTACTGTTATTTTGGACAAACAATCGTTAGCTGTTCTTGCTCACGAGGGTGCTTCGTATTGACTAATTTAATTTACATTCCCTGAACTTCCTCCAACATCCCCTCAAAATTAATCTGCAAGCATTAAAGGCAGACCAGTCATATTCTTAAACTACTTTAATGTGCACTGAATCTGCATTACTGAGACCTCGACTTGTCACTGTAAGAATAGCATGATGTTTCGTTTACTATGTGCCAGATCATTAATCGCCTTTTTTACTGCAGTATGTTTCTTATTGTCTCTCTGGCAAAGCAGCAGTTCTTAGTAGATGCTGATATTATAATATATGTTGGCATTCTTGGTGGAAAGAAATGAACAAAGTGGCACAATAAGAGAATTTCCTCAGCTTGTTTCAACATCCTTCCTTGTTTTACCATCTCTTAGAGTCTTAGTACAAACTGTTTTTCAAGGTTACACATTCTTGCAAAGCACATTGTCAAGCTATAACTGACGTGAATTGAGATTATTCATATCAGCGCTTATGCCGTTCTTGGCACTTTACCAAATCAAGAACAAGACCCAGAATCCTTTTATCTGACTGACTTAAAAATTACATATGGATGAACTCTTGAGAAGAGACATTGGAGCTGCGTTAGGAAAGCTAAAGGTGATGATGTGAGAACTTTAAGATAAAGGAATAAAATGTGAACTTAATGGCAATAGGCATTAAGATGTTCCCATAAAATAAAGGCAGCAGAATGACAGTAGAAATATATTTCAGCTTCTCTATGAAACTGTTTAACAAACTATCAATATTTGTGGTTATATTGTGCAGATACCGTCATTCCAAAGGCTTTTGTTTGATATTTTTCATACAGTGTGTTTCTTGTTTTCACCTAGGGCAGCCTGTGGTGCGTAGGATGTGCTGAAAACAGCAGGTGTGTGTGTGTGTGTGTTGGTATGATAGCTGATAGATTCTCAGTGGTATGACTAACAGCTAACATGACAGACTGTTGATGAGCCTGTATTGCCATAAAAGATTACATTTTTATACCTATCACAGACGAGGAAAACAAATACAAGGAAATGGATTTTGTACATTTAATTTTATGTACAGTAGAGAAATACTTGAAAGGTTTAAATCATCATCCTATATACAGCGATAATCACTACTCAGCTGATTTAAAACACGTTTATTTACACATATAGTTACACTCTCAGAAAAAAGGTACAAAAGCTGCTGGGGCGGTACCCTTTCAAAAGATACGTACCATTTAGGTACTAATATGTACACTTTAGGTACAAATGTGTATTAAAAGAGACTAAAATGCAACCATTGGGTGTAAAAAGGTGTGCCTTTTGAAAGGCTGTCATACCAGTGACAGCTTTTGTGACTTTTTTTTATAACAAAAAGAGTTTTATGGTACCTCTTCAACATATATCCCAATGATAACTGCATGAGAAGGATTTTAACAGAGATTTTGTGTTAGATTTGAGGTTGACACTAACATTACTTGTAGCCAGGCTTATTGTGTGTGGTCTGGTCTAGAGAACAGTTCCTCCTGACTACCTCAGGGGTCTTATTACTCTCTTGTCCTTCATTATTCATGCACACGGACCTGAAAGGCACCACCAGGCAACTGTAGGCCAGGGGCAAGTCAGTCTATCTCCAAACAAACACAATTCACTCATACATCTTTACATAATGTTAGGTTATTTTGCTCCCATAGCTGTGGAATCAGGGAGACTTGTGGGGATACTTGTGGGAATATTACATGCTAGGGTTCATCTAGACCCAGGGTTTAATCTGTTTACCAAAACGTTTACCATATGAAGAAAAATAGACCTGACCAATCTCATTTAGATTCACAATTATAAGAAACGTGTTTACAGGAGTCATATAGTGCTTCGAAGCTTTTTACTGAACAATAGGTTTCTTTCACTTATAGGCATGCGACTGCGCGCACACAAGACAAAATTAGCTGGACTGAGAGGGACGTAAGGGGGTACAGAAAGGCCTTGTATGAACATGATTTGGCACGTTTCATGCAAATTAGTAGCTGTGGACACGCGCCTCATCATTTTGAATAAATCGGATTCATCAACATTTCAACGAAGGTAGGAACAAATCTATGTGCGTATACTGATTATTAGGCCTGATAGGCTGGTATTCCACCATACATACCTGTCGCTAATCAAGAGAAAAGATGCGGAAGAACATACATTTATTTTCACCTAAATAAGGTTTGTTGTGTTTGTATGTGTGCCAAAACTCTGCATTTGAATAATAACACTAATAGTGATTCTTGCCTTAGCAAACACCACAAAATTTGAAAGGATGGAGCAATCACATCAAAATGTTTCCTGGAAACGTGACAAGTGTGGGTGGATCTATTTTGGTTCCTCTATTTAGGACATGTTTTTAAAGAGTCCTGAAGTGAATAATTGCTGTTATAGGACTGTGAGTGTGTGAGCTGACCCCTCCGTTAATGAGATTGTCATTAGGTCGGTTCCGCAGAGCTTTCATAGGAGGCACACCAAAATTAAAGAGAAAGACTTAAATCCACTGCAGTCTATTTCAGAAACACTTTAGATGTGAAGAACATGATAGAAACACACCAAATTGTAAGTGATTAACCATATTCACCTTAACCTTATAAAGCCTACCATATCATATTTGAGTTTCTAAGGTCTCTAAATGATCAACATGATCATAACTTTGCTGAAAAACCTGTTGTACACGACCTACAGTATACATGCATTTTGTCATCTGATTGATCGTTTATATTATTTTACCAAGTTAAAAGCCTTCAGGTTGTCTTTTTGTTGTGAAATCTATAATGATTTTTTTATAAAGTAAACATAAGAGTAACTTTAATATTGTTAGTAATATTTCAAGATGAATACTACACAGGGTTTGGCTCTCAAGATGCTTCGGCCTGACCTCCACTCAACACACCAGGCTTGGCATATTTACCACACGCACACACACTATCTCCCTCATTCTGACACTCACACAGGAGATTATGAAATCATCCTGTTGATGAAACTTGGCCTGGATGGTGTGGGCTCCCACACACACTCACACTCGACTTGGTGCAGTGAGTAGAAGCTCAGAGCGGTCCACTGCCTCTCGCCTCTCTGCTCAGGCTCAAGCTGACAGAGGGCTTCACGTTCGCCTGGGGGGGAGACAGTCCAAGCGTTGATTTAATTTTACAGTATAGTTACTGCTCAGACGCTTCAGCGAAAGAGAGGATAAAACGGAATGGCCTTTCCTGACATCATGGAGGATGACCTAAATGAATTGATGTGTGAGGAGGCAGAGGATGTCTTTGATGATGACGGTAGGGTCACGCTGGGACGGGGTGGGAAGTTTAGGCCGTGGTTGTGATGAATCCTGTGGAGATGTTGTTTTTAGGTATAAGAGCGACAGTGTCGAGTGGGCGTTCTTGTATAACTTCTGGTTGTGTTGAAGTACATTAGTAGATCTGTTTGATAACTCGGATGAGCATATAGCTGTAGAGCTGAAACATCGCAGCTGTTTGGCATTTCATAAGGTAGTGCATGATCAGACATGTTCCTTTGAGTGATATCTGCTGTTTGATATGCCAAAGCAAAGAAATGGGATGCTTGTTGATCTTCTGGAGGGCAGAAATTTCCCCTCTTTATGAAATTTGCGTAAATTAACATTCTGTAAGAGTTCTGAAGAACATTTACTGTATGGTTATTCCTAAATGACTCTTTGGAGCAGCAAAAGCAGAATGTAATAATTATTTTTTTTTCTGTAAATGGAGTTTCAAGCAGATGAATGTAATTATGTGACTTTCTCTCCTAGTGCATGAGCATTAGAAATGTTGCCGAAAAAGAGCACAACTGCTGTGATTTGTGTTTAAGTGAGGAGAAAACTGTAATATTGTGAAGTATTATTACAATTTAAAATAACAGTTTTCTATTTTAATATATTTTAAAATGTCACTTATTCCTGAGATGGTAAAGCTGAATTTTACTCCAGATGATCATCCAGAAATCATTCTAATATACCGATTTGGTGCTTGAGAAACATTGCTTACTGTTCTCGATGTTGAAAAGAGTTGTACTGCTTAATATTTCTGTGGAAATCACAATTCGAGTAAAAAAAAAACCCCAGCATTTATTTGAAATAGAAATCTTTTGGAACAGTGTAAATGTCTTTACTGCCACTTTTGATCAATTTAATGCATCCTTGCTGAATAAAAGTATTAAGTTCTTTAAAAAGTATATACTGATCTCAAACTTTTGAAAGGTAGTGAGTAGTGGGAGAATTTAAAATCATTAGTGTTTTGGGCAACATTGCCAATATCATATCTTGTTTGAAGGCTTATTTGGCGTCAAAGTCTGTGAAAAATCTAAATTGTTAGCTTAATATAAACAGAACTTCACTGGTAAACTTGCCCTTTTAAAACCTGTTTATATTCTGGCAGATGACAAGTGCTTTGTCTGTGATATGCCGTCTTAAATGTTGTCATCTCCATCCAGCACTGAAGAACTGAATGTTCAGATTTAACTGCTGTTTCTGCAGAAACCCTGTTACCTGCTGCCTCTATGAGAATGAACGTTTGTCTGTGTATGAGAATATAGAGAGAAAGAATAGTATGAATGTGATTTATTTCACTCAATCCTTGACTGTAAATTATGACTGAGATCTTTGTCTTTTCCCTCTAGGGTTTAAACTGTAGGAACAGCATGACTGAGTTTGGAATGGGTGGAAATGTGTTGCTATGTATCTATTTAAGGACTGTGATTGTGTGAATGTGTTGGACATTACCCATCACTTTCACATGCTTTTAGAGAACAGTGTTTATCAAACGCAGAAGCATGATGGAATAATTAGATATACTGTAGTGTATATAGATATTTAAATATAATAGATTTATGCTACTATGGTATCACCATAGTGCATTATTGTGTTGCAGGAAGTAGTTTTCAGTTTATATAAATTTTTTATATTTGAGATATATCAATGCACTCATGTTTTGGGGACCTTGCTGACTTGGTGTCCTATAGGCATTATAAAACCTAACTAAAGAAAACCTGTTCCTTTTAGTTCTTTTTCAGATAATTGTAAGATTTGTTAGTCTAGTTCTACAAATTTTGTTGCAAGGGAACTAGGTTAAAATCTAACCTAAAATGTTTTTAGTAAACCAGCTAAACTGACAAAATATTAAATTAATATAAACTGACAATTGAACCGTTGGTGCCGATAGCCTCGTGGCCCCACTGGCCCGTGTGCCTACATACAGAGCTGTTGTGCTTTGTGCGTCCCGAGTTCGAGTCCCGGCTCGGGGACTTTTCTCGATCCTTTCTCGATCCTCTCTCTCACACTTTCCTGGCTACATATTGTCCTATTGCAATAAAATGCTCAAAATAAAAAAATACACAAGCACAAAAAACTGAAATTGACAGCAAATGATCTCTATCCATTTTCATTGTCTTAAAAAGGCAGATTTGCCTTTGATATTTTGAAACTATCTCATGATAATTACAACATTAAAGAAATAGTTAACCTAAAAATGAAAAATTGCTTCAAATTTACTCCCTTTCAGGGCATCCAAGATGTACAGTTAGTTTCTTCATTGTAACAGAATTGGAGAATTTACAACAAGCTCATCCCCTGTTGTCCTCTCACATCAACATCCACCAGCATATTTGTTTAGAACTGTTTTCACTTGTAAACTGTGTTTGATCTTTGCATATTTCGCTCCTGATTCAGACTAGACTACTTTTTCACTGAAGAAAGCAATATTATGGATTATTACGGACTCATATTTTGGCTGGATGCTAAATGATGAACAACCACACAGCTTTTCACTTCACAAGACATTAACTGATGGACTGGAGTGGTATGGATTACTTATGGATTATTGTGATGTTTTTATAAGATGTTTGGATTCTGACGGCACCCATTCACTGCAGAGGATCCATTGGTGAGCAAGTGATACAATGCTGAATTTCTCCAAATCTGTTCAGATGAAGAGACAAGCATATCTTGGATGGCCTGAGGGCGATAGCAAATGATCTGAAGGTTTGACTCGATTAGACTGACCCAATTTATATGTGAAAAATTTTGCCACAAACACTTTTTTTTTTTTCAATCATCGTGCATTTGATGTGTTTTCTTTTGGAAATTCAAAATCCAAGACTCAAAAATCGTCCAGTATTTAACATCCATTCAATAAAACCAGCTCATGAGAGTCCCTCAAATCTTTTCCAGTTCACCACAGGTCAGCTTGCAGCAGATAGCATAAACTTTCTCCAAAAACTTTTACACTTCAGCTATTAATTTTTCTTTAACCTAATTCGATCAAAAAGTGTTTGACTAAGGGCAACTTTATGGAAACAAAATACACACTTGTGTGCTTTTGCATGTGCTTCATGAGTTATTTAAAGAGGGTTTTCATGTGGCCGCCTGCAGCCCCTTAAGTAGAGAGTGAAGTCTGTTCTCTGGTCCTGAAGCAATAAAGTATGAGTACTGAGAATAACCTCAGAATACCTGGGTCATGGTGACTAGTGGAGTCTTGGTAAATAAAATTAATTTACATTAGTCTCCAATATGTCAGCCTAACCTGACTAACCAAAATGAGTGCCACCTAAAGCAGTTACAACTGGGCACAATTAATATTATGCCTCCTAACTAAAATTCATGAGGCCTGTTTTATAATGTGTCGCCCACACTTGTCAGATTGTTCCTTCTCTCCTTTTTCATCAATATACAATTACAGTTGGTATTATGACTATATTGATTTTGCAGTATTACATTTAATTTCCTCCTTAATTGTTTCCAAAGCATAAAAGTAATAGTCGAGACTTTGGGAAATGTTTATGTATTTTCATTTAAAGGTCTTTGCAACTTTATGATTGGCTAAGTGCTCATGCGATATTGCTGCAGTGATATTGTAAGGTAGCAGAAAGCTGCTGTATATGTAAGAACTGCATTTAAGCTGGATTTAATCATGTTTTCTGTCAATCAAATCAAGTCCGTGCAAAAATCAGTGTCAGATTTCAAGTCATTTGTACACCCCTGATCTATGGCACTCAGGCTGGGGAAACCGTATCCCCTCGTTGTGGTGGCATTTGATTTCAGCCTTGAGCTGCTCCGTGTATTGATTCTTTAACTCAGCCGTAGAGATGTTAGAGATGTAGAGTTGGTAGAGATGTTATCTGCAGCACTGTGATCTCTACACAACGTGCTCGGTCATCATCACTCTGCACTTCATGTCCAAGGCTGCCAATGAATAACTATGATGTCAGTGTCTATGTCAGCAAAGCAGGATTTGTAGGAACAACAGCTGTATGATGGGCATCAACTGATGTCTTATCAATTATCAGAGGCTGATTTAGAGTGTGTGAGTGAGTGATGTAGCACTGAGCATTTCACACAGCTGTTTGATTCATCACACCAGACACTTTTAACAATAACAAGATGAAAGTAGCTACCAAAGATTATAAAACTGATTATAGGACTGCTTATAAGATTATAAAACTGCTCTGTCTGAAATTTGACAGGCTGAGCCTTGTTCAAATTTGTATTGGGGTCCATATTATCTATAAATCACCTACAGTTAGACTAACGGACTATATTATTGCTGGAAGAATTTGTGTATAATAATAATAATAATAATAACTATTATTATTATTAATGTTGTTATTAATACATCAGATTATTTAGTGCAGATCTTTTATAGTATATTATGTAATATATTGTATTTTATAATAATATATATTGCAGGTCTTTTATGATTTTTTTTGTTGCCACTGTTTTTTAAACGCAATAAGCCACTTAAGCCAGTTAATGAGTTATAATCATTTTTCTTTTTCTTAATCAGTGTGATCTTTTCCAGTAAATATCTTAAAAAATACAAAACATACACATACAATTAATTGACTGCTTACCACAAAGGCAAATATTTTAACTATTTCAATGAACAAATATTTAATTAATAAAAACAAACAAACAAACTTGACCGCTTTTGTTAGATTGTGCTCTATAAAGAAAAAATAGTAAGGAAAATAACAATGTTATTGATGCAATAACAAAGTTGCTTAAAATAACAAAATTGATTCATATCTCCTGCACTTTTACTTTTGAAGTGAATGTATCTTTTTTAAGTCGACGTGAAATCAAAATTGAGCTCTTCTTTTTTGTTTATGTAATATTGCAATGTTTACTATAAATGATTTATCCCTGCACATCATGCATTTTTTTAAATCCCTTTGCAACAACATCTCTTCTCTTCTCTAATGACGAGTTTACTGCTGCAAGGGTGGGACAAACTGTCATTCTTGCAGCCATAGCAAACAACAACGA